TTGACGAAGGGGTCCAATAAAACTTTTTGCATAGGGGCCCGAAAATCTTAGCTACGCCTCTGGTTCTCGCGTGACCATACTATCCAACAACTCTCACATTCCTGGTCAGGAAACTTCAAACAGTTTTAATCTCAGGCCCCGCGAGCGTCACACACCTACAAAGTAGACTTTAAGCTTAACCTTAACCCGTCCTGTTGAAAACATGTCGGAATTTTTCAAAACAAAACAAACAAATAGCAGTCACCGGTCACTCAGACTCCTTTAGTATACGGTTACAATTACAATCAGACAACACAAGTTTACGGTTACAATTACAATCACACACCTAAAGTATAAGGTTACAATTACAATCACACACCTAAAGTATACGGTTACAACTACAATCACACACCTAAAGTATAAGGTTACAACTACAATCACACACCTAAAGTATATGGTTACAACTACAATCACACACCTAAAGTATAAGGTTACAACTACAATCACACACCTAAAGTATACGGTTACAACTACAATCACACACCTAAAGTATACGGTTACAACTACAATCACACACCTAAAGTATAAGGTTACAACTACAATCACACACCTAAAGTATAAGGTTACAACTACAATCACACACCTAAAGTATACGGTTACAACTACAATCACACACCTAAAGTATAAGGTTACAACTACAATCACACACCTAAAGTATACGGTTACAACTACAATCACACACCTAAAGTATACGGTTACAACTACAATCACACACCTTAAGTATACGGTAACAATTAAAATCAGACAACACAGGTATACGATTGAATCTGCAATCACAATCAATCAACGGGTAATATTATAAACTTGGCTTTTTGGTCGACCCTACATTTTTTATGGATGACGTCATGTGATGATCAGTGGTATGTTAAGATATTTCTTTTCACATTTCCAATACTTGTACATTAGTCGTATGGCGCCAACCTGAGCCATCTGAGCCAACTGAATTCTGTCCGACTGATGAACAACCTGAGCCATCAGAGCCATCTGAATTCTGTCCGACTGATGAACAACCTGAGCCATCAGAGCCAACTGAATTCTGTCCGACTGATGAACAACCTGAGCCATCTGAATTCTGTCCGACTGATGAACAACCTGAGCCATCTGAGCCATCTGAATTCTGTCCGACTGATGAACAACCAGAGCCATCTGAGCCATCTAAATTCTGTCCGACTAATGAACAACCAGAGCCATCAGAGCCAACTGAATTCTGTCCGACTGATGAACAACATGAGCCAACTGAATTCTGTCCGACTAATGAACAACCTGAGCCATCTGAGCCAACTGAATTCTGTCCGACTGATGAACAACATGAGCCAACTGAATTCTGTCCGACTAATGAACAACCTGAGCCATCTGAGCCAACTGAATTCTGTCCGACTGATGAACAACCTGAGCCATCGGAGCCAACTGAATTCTGTCCGACTGATGAACAACCTGAGCCATCGGAGCCAACTGAATTCTGTCCGACTGATGAACAACATGAGCCATCAGAGCCAACTGAATTCTGTCCGACTGATGAACAACCTGAGCCATCGGAGCCAACTGAATTCTGTCCGACTGATGAACAACATGAGCCATCAGAGCCAACTGAATTCTGTCCGACTGATGAACAACCTGAGCCATCGGAGCCAACTGAATTCTGTCCGACTGATGAACAACCTGAGCCATCTGGTACACTGAATTCTGTACCAAATCAAGTTTACATACATGTACACGATCTCGAAGATCCTTGGGGCCTCTATTTAATCTTTTAAATTTAATCAAAAATAATTGTATCTGCTTCTTTATTTGTTAAAAACACATCACAACACCAAGCATTTAAAGAAACACAACACCATCATAAATTTATAAACACACCACAACACCAGACATTTATAAACATACCACACCAGACATTTATAAACACACCACAACACCAGACATTATAAACATACCACAACACCAGACATTTATAAACATACCACACCAGACATTTATAAACACACCACAACACCAGACATTATAAACATACCACAACACCAGACATTATAAACACACCACAACACCAGACATTTATAAACACACCACAACACCAGACATTATAAACATACCACAACACCAGACATTATAAACACACCACAACACCAGACATTTATAAACACACCACAACACCAGGCACCTAAAAACACAACTTCAGAATGTAGACAAAAAAATTTGTAGTATCTCTATAACCTCTCTTGACTTGTCACTCCTGTCATTTCTTGCCACGACGTTTATGCTAGTCTGTCTTGTGATACTGACCGGAAGTGGTCAGCAGGTCCGCTGGTCGCTCACCCATTCTGCTATTTCAGACGGTACCTGGACAGCGCATTTCTAAATTCTTCTGACACCACTGGTACTCTCCATCTAGTCATTGAAATTATTCTCCAGTCCCTCCCTCTAGTCCAACATCGAAACAGCCTTCATGGTATCTTATATAACAAACTAATTTGGAAACATTATCAGTTTAGAAATAATCAGTACAGACTATTTACTTTCAGAGGAACATGCTGATTTAATTCTTTCTTAAAGTTTTAACAAACAAAAATCATTTTTAATAAATATAAAACCCTTTTTTAGTTTATTGTTCCTTTATTAAAGTTTTTTTTTTGTTTGAACATTGAAAAGAAAAAGTGGAAGAAAAATACCTCACTTGAAACTTTCGCTGGGCTAGAGTCATTAGATTTTAAATGCGGCTAAACCTAGCACAGAGAAACAAACAACATCGTGTTATTTATTCTATGAAAAAACTTGAACTATAAAACTCCAAATGTCGATTTGAACGTACAACACAAACCTAGCCCATAAAGCAAAGTTGTCATGTAACATTACGTTGCAGTGTACGGCATATATTTTCTTTTGCCGATATTCTTAAATCCAACTTTTTTTCAATTAACCGAATTTTTTGGATGTTGTCAGATACAGTCTCTCCACCCTGCCTACCCTCGATGTCCATTTAGTCTGAGGGGGTAGACGTTCTTTGGGGGGGGGGGTAGGCTTCGAGATGCCTGGAAGAAACTCTGCACCCGACTCCAAATTTTTTTATAGCAATCACTCAGCCTCGTATAATCAAACAACCAGTATAATAATGACAGAAAAGGGAGTGGCTTGATTTTGTAAACAAATATGTCAATTCTTGTGATTCAAATTTTACCCGTTGATATCATTAATTTATCACATTTTATCAAACACTGCTTTTACTTTTAAAGTTAAAGTATATGTCTCGGATTATTTTTCTTCTTCTTTGTAGTGCGTGTAACAGGTTTTTCTTACTTGCTTTATCTTCCATTTTAGTCATTGGCCTGATTTACTCTCCAAGAAAGACCGAGGTATATCAGGCAACAAGTCTATAAACAACTCACCAAGCAACAAGTCTATAAACAACTCACCAAGCAACAAATCTATAAACAACTCACCAAGCAACAAGTCTATAAACAACTCACCAAGCAACAAGTCTATAAACAACTCACCAAGCAACAAGTCTATAAACAACTCACCAAGCAACAAGTCTATAAACAACTCACCAAGCAACAAGTCTATAAACAACTCACCAAGCAACAAGTCTATAAACAACTCACCAAGCAACAAGTCTATAAACAACTCACCAGGCAACAAGTCTATAAACAACTCACCAAGCAAACAATTCTATAAACAACTCACCAAGCAACAAATCTATAAACAACTCACCAGGCACGAGTCTATAAACAACTCACCAGGCAACAAATCTATAAACAACTCACCAAGCAACAAGTCTATAAACAACTCACCAAGCAACAAGTCTATAAACAACTCACCAAGAACGACTGAGATAAATCAAGCAACAAGTCTATAAACAACTCACCAGGCAACGAGTCTATAAACAACTCACCAAGCAACAAGTCTATAAACAACTCACCAAGCAACAAGTCTATAAACAACTCACCAAGCAACAAGTCTATAAACAACTCACCAAGCAACAAGTCTATAAACAACTCACCAGGCAACGAGTCTATAAACAACTCACCAAGAACGACTGAGATAAATCAAGCAACAAGTCTATAAACAACTCACCAGGCAACGAGTCTATAAACAACTCACCAAGCAACAAGTCTATAAACAACTCACCAAGAACGACTGAGATAAATCAAGCAACAAATCTATAAACAACTAGAGATCTTCTGGTTAGCAGTCAAACGCTCTACCCTGTCGACCACTCACCGCGAAAGACCGAGGTAAATCTTGCTCAAGCCAGGCTAGCAGCTGCGGAATTTCCTGCTCTGTTACAAGATGTAGCTCGTCACACATTCTCCTGGTGGATGTACCCGCACTACAACACTGTTCATCTGATCAGCTCTAGACTTTATGTCATCTTTATCAGAGCTACCTGGACCATGTCACATAATTAAGTTATTGACACCTGCACACGAACTATGCAGGTCTGTAGTTGAAGATAATCCCGACCCTAATCTTGACCCTAACCTATACACTTACCATAAGCCTAACTCCCAATCTAAACCCTGTGTTTTTTCCAGACTTTTTTCTCCAGGGCGGCACTTGATGTTTTCTGGGGGGTTGAGGGGGGGGGGGGGCGGACTAAATTCTCCGGGGAGGATGGGGGCGGACAGTTGTATAAGTATACGTTTTCTAAATAAATTTCGTTCCCCCTTTCCAGCCCCCCCCCCCAAGACATGCCTGGAAGAAACACGGGACCCTGTTTAGTGTACAGACATAATTATAAGAGAACCAAAACAACTCGCACAAGAAAACTAGTTTTTGACATTCACAAGGGGAAATAATCAGATAAACATCGGTGTATAGGTTCAAATATTTATTTCCTCCCCTTGTATGACCAACCACAACAATGTAGAACACGCCCCCACCATTGGTGGACTTAGCAATGTGTACAGCACACGTCAGACGCTCACAAATGGAAATTCCGCCATCTTGATTCACCTTTGACCCCTGTGGATGGCTGGTTAGACCAACTGATCCTTTCATAGTACCAATCAAATACAGTGTAGCGAACATTACACCTCGAAACCCATCTGCCGATTTCTTCTGTACCTAGGCTGCTGATTCGCTATGATTATTTGTTGGAAAAACTGATGCATTGTTGCTGTTCGAATCTGCTCAAGCTGATATCGTCTGTAATTCAGGTAAACATTGAGCGCAGCTAGTCCTGTAAAAAAAAAAGTGTACATTAAACATTGCAGGCGTCAGATTATTTAGCGCCATAGGCAAAATGTATTGAAACGCCCCCCCCCCCCTCCCCCTCCCCCTCTTGAATAAAAGACGCCAAAAGGAACTACTTGTTGAAACATCTCTTCAATAGACTGATCAATTAAGGCAAAGACTATACTACTGTTGTGGGAAAAAGAAGACAAGAAAATATCCCTCTTATTATGTCACTTAAATTATTAGTTTGTGTTTTATAATCTGCTATCTAAATTGTATGTGTATTGACTGAGTCTTCATCTTAGTCTCGATTTTTAAAGATTGCATGGACAGCTTTGTCTGTATATTTAAATCCCTTTTACTTATTCTTATTTCGGAAATAACAAACTAACGACCACACAAAATAGCATTCGGGGGGGGGGGGATCGTTCGGCAAAAGTTTATTTCAATATAGCTGATATAAGGCGCCGGTCAGTCGAGGTCAGTTTTGACCCCTCTGACCGTGGACGGTGCTAGTTACTTTATACTGAACTACTATAAACTAGCCGTCGGTACCCGTTACAAGTGAACAGTGTTTCTTCCAGACTTTTTTCTCCGGGGGGGGGGGGGGGCACTTGATATTGGGGGGGGGGGGCGGTCAACATTTTCCGGGGACACTAGTAAAAGTATATGTTTTCTATATAAATTTCATTTCGTTCGGGGGGGGGGGGGGGCGGTAGACTATTAGGATAACAGTAAGGTAGATGACAAAACAAAAAAACATCTTACCGGCTACTACCACTGTTGCTGCCTGCAAGATTGCGATTAGCGGTGTGATTGCCTCTTGGATCAATGCCCGAAATGATAAAAGCTCCTGTTTGATGAAGGCCTGCTGTTTCAGCAAAATCTCTTCGGCGAATGTCTGATGTTTTAACATTGTCTTTTCAATAAAGGATTGGTTGGGAATCAAACCTCTGTAAAAGAAAAACACAACTGATCAAATAAATATAGAGATGTACAAAATAAAATGCACAAAAAAGGAAAAAAAAAACTAAAATAAAGGAGTGAGATATTTTTCCGCTTACTCTGGTAAGGTAAAAGAAAATCTGGTCCTATCATACTCTGTATTTACTGGTGCTCCAAACGCCAATGAAGTCAAAGCAAAAAGGAAAACACATGCTGCAAATGAAAAAAATATTTTAAACGGTCTTTTCTATTGCCTGCGGAAAGGGGAGGGGTGGGGTTATAGTGTATGGTGTTTGTGGTATGGGGTGAGATGTGATATTGGATGTTGAGGGTTAGTGTAGTGGGGTGAGATGTGTTATTGGATGTTGAGGGTTAGTGTAGTGGGGTGAGATGTGTTATTGGATGTTGAGGGTTAGTGTAGTGGGGTGTGATGTGATATTTGATGTTGAGGGTTAGTGTAGTGGGGTGAGATGTGATATTTGATGTTGAGGGTTAGTGTAGTAGGGTGAGATGTGTTATTTGATGTTGAAGGTTAGTGTAGTAGGGTGAGATGTGATATTTGATGTTGAGGGTTAGTGTAGTGGGGTGAGATGTGATATTGGATGTTGGGGGTTAGTGTAGTGGGGTGAGATGTGTTATTTGATGTTGAGGGTTAGTGTAGTGGGGTGAGATGTGTTATTTGATGTTGAGGGTTAGTGTAGTGGGGTGAGATGAGGTGTATGGTTGTGGTGGTGTGTGTTGCAAGATGTACGGTATGGGGTGAGGTATGGGGTGAGGTATGGGGTGAGGTATGGGGTGAGGTATAGGGTTAGGTATGGGGTGAGGTATGGGGTGAGGTATGGGGTGAGGTATGGAGTGAGGTATGGGGTGAGGTATGGGGTAAGGTATGGGGTGAGGTATGGAGTGAGGTATGGGGTGAGGTATGGGGTGAGGTATGGGGTTAGGTATGGGGTTAGGTATGGGGTGAGGTATGGGGTGAGGTATGTTCAGAGTGGTGGTGGTAAAAATCTGACAAGACTTACAAAAAAGCATCCCAAATGCATTTCTACCTCTCCTGTAGCTCAGCGTCATCTGTGTGGAAAGATGCACAAATTAAAAAATGTACCTGCATGGGTTTCGCTACCCTAACTTACAAAGAGTGTCTAGCCCGCTGTCACTCTGACACCTAAACATTAGGAGAAAATATTTGCAGTTATTTTACTTATTTTCAATAAGAAAGTAAAATCACCGCAAATGTTATTTTAAATCTATTTATGTCCTTGTTTATAGGACGACGTAGCATCAGTGGTAGAGCTCTAGGCTGCTAACGTAGCATCAGTGGTAGAGATCTAGGCTGCTAACGTAGCATCAGTGGTAGAGATCTAGGCTGCTAACGTAGCATCAGTGGTAGAGCTCTAGGCTGCTAACGTAGCATCAGTGGTAGAGATCTAGGCTGCTAACGTAGCATCAGTGGTAGAGATCTAGGCTGCTAACGTAGCATCAGTGGTAGAGCTCTAGGCTGCTAACGTAGCATCAGTGGTAGAGATATAGGCTGCTAACGTAGCAACAGTGGTAGAGATATAGGCTGCTAACGTAGCAACAGTGGTAGAGATCTAGGCTGCTTAGAGATCTAGTTTGCTAACGTAGCATCAGTGGTAGAGATATAGGCTGCTAACCCGTAATGTCTCGAATCCGTGCAAGTCAGTATAACTTCTCCACCCAGCTCTAATGGGTACCTGCTTCGTGTTAGGGAAAGTAAAGGCGGCTGGGGAAAATGCTGACCACCTGAGGACCACCCAGGTGACGAGAGCTAGAGAGGAAGTCCTCCACCTCCCGGTCGTTGCAACTCACCTTAGATAAGGCCGGCTGGACAAACGTCTGCACCGTGTCTGGGATTAGCTCAGACTGGTCAGGTGTGGCATCGGGAATAAAGGAATCTACCTGGTCAGGTGTAGAATCTGGAACAAATAAATCCGTCTCGTGAGTTATGAATCAATTTCGCTTTGAGAATTTATGAAGCTATAATTAGGTGGGTTTTGATGTACATGAATATAGCCTCAAAGCGATTATTTCAAACCACTTCTGTTGCTGTTAGCGTTAGTGTTAGTAATATGGTCAAGTGAGGGTTAGGGTCAGGCTTGGGTTATATTGGGGTAATGTGTCTTGGCGAAAATAACATCAATAAAAGCCAAAGGTGTGTTTACATGTGCCAGGCTAGGAGTTGAGAAATGGCTAGCTTTAGATCTACGACAAGGTTTTGGGTAGGGTGAGGCTTAGGTTTCTAATTATATATATATATTATATATAATTAAATATGGACACTAAGTAGCACTATCGGCTGTACTCGCTGCATAAACAGCCATATTTAGAGCTAGTATTCATGTGTTCATTTATCCAATTATTTATTTATTCAATAACGGCAACAATAGTAGGCACGGAGGCCTTTTTTCACATTGTCCGTTTAATAACAACAATTTAATAACAGCACTTTAAAAAGCAATTGCATAGTAAAGATATAGTAGTACCATAGCACTAAAAAATATAGAATAAAATAATATTACATAGTTATAATACAAAATGAGGTAAAATAAGAATATAATACATGAATGAGGAATGATGCAATGAGTCAGTTAGGGAGGTCATTAAATAATTGTTGTTTTAGTTTGTTTTTTTAAATATATTTTCAGATCTAGATAGTTTTATTTTATTAGGAAGATAGTTCCACAAAAGCTATAAAACTGGTTACTGGCTTGTCTAGTAATTTGGATTATATTATTACAACTAATATACTTCCATTAAATAAAAAGTTAATATATACTAAAGCCATTTTTTATATAAAATATTCCACGAAACAGGCCCCCTCCTACTTATCAGACCTATTTTCTTTTAACACAAAATTAAATCGACGTCTTAATTTACCAATCCCATCTACACCTTTTTTTCCAAAAACAGCTTTTGTGGAACTGTCAGCATCAGTGTTGAGAGCTACAGATGATATGAAGTGGTTATTGAAGTCATCAACATCTGTGTTGAGAGATACAGATGATATGAAGTGGTTAATGAAGTCATTAGAATCTGTGTTGAGAGATACAGATGATATGAAGTGGTTAATGAAGTCATTAGAATCTGTGTTGAGAGATACAGATGATATGAAGTGGTTAATGAAGTCATTAGAATCTGTGTTGAGAGATACAGATGATATGAAGTGGTTAATGAAGTCATTAGAATCTGTGTTGAGAGCTACAGATGATATGAAGTGGTTATTGAAGTCATCAGCAGATACCTGGCAATGTCCAGCTGTATCGCATGTGCGGTTTTTTTTTCTAATTATTTGATTTTTGGCAGTCCAGAACAAAGACCAGTTTCTTTGTATAGAGACCAGGTAACTATCGATGTGACTAGCTATAGCTATAGCTAGCTTTAATATGGAGTTACTACTCCCGGCTTGACTAGCTGAAACATATCGAGGCATGGCTAAAAAAAAACAAATACCCCCCCCCTTCTATATAAGACAAAGTACTCACCAGCATCCCTGTCCTGGTTGTCTGTCTGATGCTCACCTTCACCTTGGTGACGTAGTTCAGCCTTCAGGCTCACCTCACTCAGCTTTGACACGCTCAGGTCACGGGCCAGCTGCAGGTTGTCGACCAGTCCCGTCTCGCTGCACGTGCTACACTTGCTGGACTTGCTGGACCTAGCCGAGCTAGAGCGGGAGTTGGAGTCGCTGTATCTCCTGGAGTAGCGGAACATCTTATCGAACGTCCACATGCGGAAATAAACCACAAACTTACACTTGATAATTTAGTTTTAAAAAGTTAAAAATTCACGTAAAAATCAGCCGTTCTTGTGGTAACTATAAACTTTTACGTTCTACCGCAGTAAGACGGAAGGAATGTGACGTCATGCAATGTGACGTCATGCAAATAATTTATTTGCAATTGTTTTTAAGAAGCATTGGGTTAGAGAGTTTCAGCAATCTTAACCATCTGATACACTGATTTATGTTCGACTGAATTCTGTACCAAAATCAAGTTTACAAATTCGTACACGATCAAATACACAAACATGTACACAAACAAAATGACAAACATGTACATAAACATATAAATAATATGTATTCAAACATACAGAAGTGCTTTAAAAAAATATTCGCGTAGTTCATTTTTCCCGTCTTGAAGATCTTTGATGGCTCTATTTAATCTTTTAAATTTAATCAAAGATCATTTTATCTGCGTCTTTCTTTGTTAAAGCCACAACACAAACACCAGGCAATTAAACACACAACACAACATTAAGCATTTAAACACACAACACAACATTAAGCATTTAAATACACAACTTCAGAATGTAGACAAAAAAATTTGTAGTAACTCTAAAACCTCTCTTGACTTGTCACTCCTGTCATTTCTTGCCACGACGTTTATACCGTGATGCTAGTCTGTTTTGTGATACTGACCGGAAGTGGTCAGCAGGTCAGCTGGTCGCCAGTGTTTTTTCCAGACTTTTTTCTCCGGGGGGGAGGGGGCACTTGAAATTTTCGGGGGGGGGGGGGCGGTCATCATTTTTTTTTGGGGGGGGGGGGCGGACACTAGTAAAATTATATGTTTACTATATAAAATCCATCTCGTTCGGGAGGCTGGGTAGACTTTCTTCGGGGGGGGGGAGCTCCGTCCCCCCCCCCCCCCCCCCGAAGAGATGCCTGGAAGAAGCTCTGCTGGTCGCTCACCCATTCTGCTGTTTCAGAAGGTACCAGGACAGCGAATTTGGAAATAAATTTTGTAATAAAAACCTTTTTTTTAGTTTATTGTTCCTTTATTAAAGTTTTTTTTTTAACATCGAAAAGAAAAAGTGAAAGTAAAATACCTGTGCTGCGTTGGAGTCTTTACATTTTAAATGCGGCTAAACTTAGCACACAGAAACAAAATAAAATCGTGTTATTTATTCTAAGAATAAACTTTAACTAAACTTTCTCGAATGTTCTTATATATCACTACAGGGGATGTTTTTCCGACTCAGGGAGGTTTAAAACGTCGAGATTTGCAAAAATCTCGATTTTTTATTTTTTGCACGAAAAGATTACAATACTTTCTCCATACTTCGTATACGAGCAGTGGCGTAGCGAGGTCGGGTGTCACCCGGTGCGGCACTTAATGGTGTCACCCCCAGAGGCGTAGCGACCCTTACCGGGGACAAACTTTCAAGTTTTCGATTTGCACCCCCCCCCCCCTTAAACTTTCGATTTGCACCCCCCCTCAAGTTTTCGATTTGCACCCCCCCCTCAAGTTTTTCTCTATATAATTTGCTATTTTTTGCCTTGGTGTCACCCCCCCCCCTAAATGGTGTCACCCAGTGCGGTCCGCACCCCCCTCGCTACGCCCCTGTATACGAGAAAGTAAGAAACTCCAGATGTCGATTTGAACGTACAACACAACTCTCGCCCATAAAGCCAAGCTGTCATGTAACATTACGTTGGAGTGTACGGCATGTATTTTGTTTTGCCGATATTCTTAAATCCAACTTTTTCAAACAACCGAATCGATTGGATGTTGTCAGACAGACAGTAGCCGAAACACGGGAGGTCAAGGTCGAAGTAAGCCTCAGATATCCCACGTAGCAGCATCTGACCCAGGCCGTGACGTCTCATTTCTGGAACCACGTAAAGAATTCCTACACTTCCTTTCTCTGTGCCGACCACGTGACCTAGACACTGACCAGACCTGGTTAAAACAAGACAAAGTAGTTCTAGTGACGTCATCTATCGTTCATTCATTATCATTTTAATTTTGACGTTTGCTTTAAAATGACTTCATGTGTTTGTGTGAAAATATGTGACGCTCTGATAGAAGTCTCTCCACCCTACCTACCCTCGATGCCCCCCCTCATACCCAATCCTCCACCCCCACCCCCTTAATCATACGTCATATTTAGTTTTTATAGCAATCACTCTGCCTCGTATAATCTAACAACCAGTATAATAATGACAGGAAAAAAAAGAGTGGCTTGATTTTGTAAACAAATCAGAGAGCTTCATGGGAAATGATGTAGAAAAAAAGGTGGGGTTAAAATAACATGACGTCTTAAGGTGGTTAAAATTACAAAAAAGGAATGTTGCGTAAGTTTTATGCGGCAATAAAGCTGTCTAAAAGTCTACAATTTGGAAGGAAACAACGTACCTATCAAAGACACGACATACCTATCAAAGACACCACGTACCTATCAAAGACACGACATACCTATCAAAGACACCACATACCTATCAACGACACCACATACCTATCAAAGACACCACATACCTATCAAAGACACCACCTAACAAAGACACGACACACCTATCAAAGACACCACGTACCTAACAAAGACACCACGTACCTATCAAAGACACGACGTACCTATCAAAGACACCACGTACCTATCAAAGACACCACGTACCTATCAAAGACACCACGTACCTATCAAAGACACCACGTACCTAACAAAGACACCACGTACCTATCAAAGACAGCACATAACAGAGACACCACGTACCTATCATAGGTACGACGTAACAATCAAAGACACCACGTACCTATCAAAGACACCACAAGAAGGGAAGCGGAGAATAAGTTGTTCTAAATATTTCTCCGAGTGCTCCTTTTTAAACGGCCAGGTCGAGTTCATAATGGCAGCGTCTCGTTTTGGTTCCAGGGGGGAGATAATCAGGTGCACGGACCTTTGACCACAGGTGCTTTGACCATAGGGGGTTTGACCATAGGGGGTTTGACCACAGCGGAGCTTTGACCATAGGGGCTTTGACCATAGGGGGTTTGACCACAGCGGGGCTTTGACCATAGCGGTGCTTTGACCATAGGGGGTTTGATCATAGGGGGTTTGACCATAGGGGGTTTGACCACATGTGTTTTCTCAGCAGAGGGTCTTTGATCACAGGTGGTCTATCAACTGGTGTTTGATCACAAGCGCTGCGTCCGGCTTTGATCATAGGTGTGATACAATTAACACGATTTTATACATGTTTCCTGAGAGTACGTTAATAGAAATTAACATGTATTTAAAAGAAGACAAGAACTATAATTTAGTCTCCACATAAAGGCTGGTGCTAGGCCTCATAGATTTATTTTAAATATAAATGAAACACAAATAATGCGACATATAACAAGCTTCACAAATAAATAATGTAGATGTACTTTAAAATACATAGCATATATAAAGGATAAAAAATGATACAAAACTTGCCAACAATATAGTCAAAGATGTAATACATAAAATGGTTAACTAAATGACAGTTGTGCTATAGCACGCAAATATGTCAGTACATCTGTTTGACCATATGTCTGGACAGCACGTTGTACTTTTTCGTGCAGCATCTTGTATAGCTTCTCAGCTGGGAAGCTTGCCCCTGCAACACCTTGCAAGAAAGTTGTCTTTTGCCGTGTGCAGTCCATCTGCAGACCTTCAAGGAAACGCCACATTGTTGGTGTGACTACATTGGAGGAGAGACTGAAGACTGTAATGCCATCCTTCACAAATGTTATTTGTTCGTGCTACACCATCTCCAATCGTGTGCAAGATTCTCCATGGTTTTTAAATAGAGTAGTTTAGATGACTTGTATTTATACATGATGATTTAACATATTATTACATCATGTCGAAATTTAAAATATAATTTAGCAACTTTTAAAATAAATCCTTACCATATATGGACAGCATTGGACAAAACACCTGAGATCAAAGACCCTATGTGGACAAAAAACATATGATCAAAGCCGGACACAGCGCTTGTGATCAAACACCAGTTGATAGACCACCTGTGATCAAAGACCCTCTGCTGAGAAAACACCTGTGGTCAAACCCCCTATGGTCAAACCCCCTATGATCAAACCCCCTATGGTCAAAGCACCGCTATGGTCAAAGCCCCGCTGTGGTCAAAACCCCTATGGTCAAAGCCCCTATGGTCAAAGCTCCGCTGTGGTCAAACCCCCTATGGTCAAAACCCCTATGGTCAAAGTACCTGTGGTCAAAGGTCCTAGGACCGCCCCCCCCCCCCCCCTGCTTCGCTACTGCTTCTTAGATAAGTCAGGTTTTGATTTAGTTCATTTCTTTTGTTATTGCAGTCTTAGATAGGTCAGGTTTTTATTTAGTTCATTTCTTTTGTTAGGGCCGTCTTAGATAAGTCAGGTTTTGATTTAGTTCATTTCTTTTGTTAGGGCCGTCTTAGATAAGTCAGGTTTTGATTTAGTTCAGCTTGTTCTGTCACTCTTTGAGCTCCGAACTCATTCAAATGGTAAAGGTATTTTTTGGCATGCATTGAGCTTGGATGAATTTTTTCGCATAAGAAAGAGGATGTATTACAATCGTGCAAAAACTAATTGTTTTACACCTGACCAAGTCGAAAAAAACTGTTTTACTATTTAGCCTGTAAGTCGGGCTGTCTATGAACACGATAATGTAAGGACCGTTTCTATTACGTTATCGAAATTTTATGTTATAGTATTATATCGAACTTATATCTCTGTATCAGCTATTGAACCTTTTTCTGTAACCGGAAGTGGTACTTAAGTAACGTTTAAGTTAGGTGGACGAAATATCTCATACAATTATTACATTGTTTATTTCAAATTTTGAACGATTTCCGCTAAATGGAAGTAATACTTTACTCTATTTCCGTGTGACAGTATAACACAAAAAGATTACTTTTTCCGAGTAAGATTACTTCTTCCAAGTAAGTTTAGGGGAGATCACTCCCACTTTATCTAAAATTACTTCACCGGTAGACATGTTCATGTCGCACAGAGACTAGTCATACAGAGTACTGTGAGAACCTAAAACATGTCGGCACTTACGAAAAATTGCCGGTTTGTTCCAGTCAAA